TCTTCTTCTAGATATGCCTCCATCTCTTGACAGGCTATCGTCTTTACGTCTCTTTCGGTTTTAAATGCGTACACCATCTCCATGTGGCTGGTGCCCATTATTTCTCACATGGCTTCCGTCCGTGCTTGGATAGCTCTTGTTTCTGTTCGGGTGGCTTCCATCCTTTCTTGGATAGCTCTTGTTTCTTCTCTGGTGGCTTCCGTTTCTGCGACCAACTCTTCTCGCATGGCGGCCATCTTTCCTCGCCAGGCTTTCCACCTGTCGTCAGCCCTTTTCTCGGCAGCTTCTCTCTGGGCCCTCAATTCCTTCCGCAGGAGTTCCAACAATTGCTCTGTTTCCATTTTGTAGCAGTAAAATAGTCGAAACGGTCGTAAGTTTAATTCTTCGAGGTGTGTTTAAGGTCGTAAAAATTCTGACACCAAATTGTCACGTGTCTTGAGTTCGAATCTCGTCGGTCACGTGTGTAAGTCTAAATCCCACTTCTGACACCAGTGTAACGTGTTTACGTTACCGAAGACGCCGTAGAGATGGTTAATTGGTTTATTTAACAATCTATAAGTATCGGCTACAATTAATTATTACACAGTTGCGGGGTTTCACACTTTATAACCCTAAGCGCATTAATCTGTTAACACTGTTGCAGGGTTTCACACTTTATAACCCTATGCGCAAATCAGTTCGCTCTGCCTTCAGTAGCCTACACGTTTACAGTAGGGGAGCTATGTATCACTGTATCACACACTCCCAATTACACAATCACACACACGTCCGGTTCTTCTTTCCGCGACGGCTGCTATACTCCAATGGTAGTCGGCTGACTGGAGAACTGTTGATAACACACGCGGCGACTGTTATGTTACAACTCGGAACTGTCTTCGGCGATGGCCAGGTTACAACTAACTCGGTGGCTGTCACAGTACAACTGACTTACAGCTGCAGTGCTGCCTGTTGCGTTCCATGTCACAGTAGGAAGTTGATTACGGGTACGTAGCGTTGCGCGTTACGTCACCGCGGAGGGGTGGGAGGGAAGCGCTGCGTTACCGCCACGCGCCTGTGGCCTGAGTTGCCACGTTGCTGCTGGGTAGGGAGGGGTTCTCCGCTGCGCAACATGTTACAATATAATAGAAAAGTTTCTAAATGTATAACCTGTGGCCCTTCATTTCCTGAATCAGGTCATAACCAGAGGGTAAAATGTAACTTGTGAAGAATGATGTTTATTGAATGTATTGCACTGTGGACAGTTGATGGTTACAGCAAGATGACATTCCCATGGTTTTACTATTTCCACAGATACATATGTGCCAACTTGTTACTTGAAGATGATCTGTGTCCAGTTCATAAAAGTCCTTTTATGTCTCAGATATTTGTGGCACTGTGTAATGTCTAATGCAAACTCAGTGCCTATAGTTGCTGCTTCATGTATCATCCATTATCTGAGGTGAATTAGAAAGCCTGGTCACCAGGACTTAAGTATTATAGTACTGTGATGTCGGAGTTATTTTTTATTCTATGCTGGCAGGTCACTGGACGGAAGGCTACAGGTATCTCATCGCAAAGGCCTTCCCCACGTTATCTATTGCCGTTTGTGGCGCTGGCCTGAACTTCAGTCTCATCACGAACTTCGGGCATTAGACAATTGTGAATTTGCTTTCAACCTTAAACGGGACGAAGTCTGTGTCAATCCATATCATTATCAGCGTATAGAAACACCAGGTAAGCCATATGGCTTATCTTAATGGATAAAGATTTTGTCACAGTTATATAACTCTTTATTTCTGTATGTTGAAAACGGTTAGTCAGATCACGAGAAAAGTTACAGCATGGCCTACCTGACACCAATTTTAGGGAGGCTTTAATTTCTTAGTCTACTCTTTGACCTGTTTGGATGCTGAATATTGTTGAGTACTTTTCTAGAACAGTGTTACAAAAACTGTATTCTTTGTAATTTGGGCCTTGCATTGATTTGCATGCAGAGTTCTTTTGAAGGCCTTACTACACTGAAATTATAAACCTTGAAGTTGTTTCTACTCCCAAATGATCCTTTTATTGCCTTTCATAAGGGTGGAAACATGTTAATGTATAGACAGGGGCTGTATTGAAGGGTTTTAATTTCTTTTGAATGTCAGTAAGAATTGCTCATAAGTTACTGCTTGAATACTCCTGTTACTAGATATCATATATGTAGTAAAAGAGAAGTTTGTTTATGGTTATAGAGGGCTGTTTGGAAAGTAACCTCTGGTGACCTGTTAACAAAACAAGCAGTGAGCTTTAATAAACAGGTTACTTCCTGAATAGCCCTCGTGCTACATCTCTGTCCATCTGTGTCTTGGTATTACAGCCTAAGCCATGGGACAGATTTTTTTTAAAATTTAGTATGGGAGACTTACTGAAAGCTGTCTGGCGATTCCAGCCCTCAGCTGTATTGACCCTTAATGAAGTCCACTTTACATAAGTTGACAGATAGATAAATACAAGGTGTGTCGCAAAAGTCATGAAATATATTTCTTTCCCGCGCTCCTACTGGTCGGAGTGCGCTGGAACCAGTTGGGTTAAGGGGGGGGAGGTCTTTAGCTTCACAGCGCGCCCAAAGTCAGTCTGCTCGAGCATCGAAGGCTTCAGTATCGCTGATTTAGTGCACCTGTGTTTTGTGACCACGTCACAGCACGCAATGGCGGATACTTTCGAACAACGTTGGACGGTCAAGTTCTGCACAAAGCTCAACAAAAAAGCTGCTGAAACTCACGAACTGCTTAAGCAAGCCTACAGGGAGTCTGCTCTATCATGTGTGCAAGTTACAAGATGGGTGAAGAAGTTTAAGGAGGGCCAGGAAGGAGTGGAAGATGATCCCTGCTCTGGACGGCCGTCAACAAGCCAAACCGATGAAAATGTGACTCGTGTTCGTGATTTGTTGAATACTGACCCCAAGGACAGACTGTCAACGCTCCCTACTACGTGGATGTTCTAGAAAGATTAAGGAAAAGGGTCATCTGCGTGCGAAAAGACATCGCTGCTAACTGGTGGCTGCATCATGACAATGCGCCCAGCCACGCATCTCTGCTCGTCCGTGAGTTCCTGGCGAAGTGCCACGTGGCAACGTACAGCCCCGACCTAGCTCCGGCCGACTTCTTTTTGTTCCTGAGGATCAAGACTGCACTCAAAGGACGCCGTTTTGAAAGCATTCGGGCTNAGAGTTCCGTCTTCTGGGGTATAAGGCCGTGTAGTCCACTGAAAGTCAACTGATGTTTTGGAGGAGTAGGTCACCTCCATTTTCGATATCAAAGTATAAGCCAAGTAAGAAAACAGCATGAAAGCAGATGGGAAGCAGAGCCATCTGCTTTGATGTTGGTTTCATAGTTGGCTTATTCTTTGACCCTGAAATTGGAAGCGACATGCTTCTCCGAAACATTGGTTGACTTTCAGTAGACTACACAATGTTGTATCGCAGAAGACAGGACTCCTTACAAGGAATGCTGCTGGAAATTTTGTGTGCTATGTTATGGAGTATGCTCTTTCGATTCATATTATTTGATGAGAAAAGGTGTATATTAGTGCACTGCTGTAGATGATGGACTTGGGGAGCATAGTCATTGAGAAGTTAATAATCATCCAGTTATTAAAAAAGTTGCCAACCTTAATGTTACTAGAAGGTCCAATTGCCATGCTCACAAGAGACTGTAACTGGACTCTGTACTGAGCCAAATGATTCCAGTCCACACACTCCAACTCTCTTTGGGATCGATTTTAATATTATCCTTCCATCTAGGCGTGAGTTTTCGAAAATGCCTCTTTTTTCATGTTTTATGATCGAAATTATATACATGATTCTGATATCTTGTGAGTATGCTATTTGCACTTAATTTGATCATTGTAATAATGTTTAATGAAGAGTATTGGTTATGAAGCTCCACATGAAATTTTCTTGAATGACCTGTCACTTCCTTCCTCTTAGTGCAGTTGTTCTCCATAGTACCTGTTCTTAAAAACACTCAACTTATGTTCCTTGCTTTGTATATTCTAAAAGAAAGTTGAAAAGTAGTGCTGATAAAGCATCTCCTCTTATGAGGTGATTATGAACAGGAACTGTATCAGACAATTCTTCCTTTACAGATTTTTACTTCTGCTTTCATTTGAATGTATTGTGATTGGCCCATCTGGTTTTATGAGTGTACTGAATTTAGTGAGAATGATGTATAGTGTTTCTTTGCTAACTGAACTGTAGGATTTTTTGAGGTCTGTAAAATAGCTGATGGACTGTCCCATTTTACTCCACTTTTTTGCTCTAGTAATGGCCAAATGCAGAGTTTGATCAATATCTGATGTTACATCAAAACTGATACTGTTGATCCACAATTTCCTTTACACATGGAGTTAACCTTGTGAGAAGAATGTTAGGTAAAATTTTGTGTATAATTTCTTATCAGTATGGGGAGATCTTATTGTGTTGTTGCAGCATTACCAGCAATTCTAGTTCCTCGTCACACAAGTACAAGTGAGGATTGTCAGTCGTCCCTGTTTCCGTCTGCTGGAAGCGGTGGAGAATTGAGCAGTTCCGTGCCAGAAAACACGCAGTTCCCGAGCCCTGTGGGTGGCGGGGGCACAGGAACAAATAATTTGAGCACTCTTTTACAGCATTCTCCCATTACAAGCCCCACGCTGGAGCCCCCCCGGCCCCTTCCAACCACCGAGACACCCCCACCAGGGTACATGTCTGAGGATGGAGATAATGTTGACCACAATGACAATATGAGTAAGTTCAGAATTTCAGAATTACAGTTATCCATTAGAAGTTGAATGAGTCTGTGATTCTGTTATGTGAACTAAAGCAGGAATATAAATTATTGTAATCTTAGGAATGAGAATCAGAAATGTGAGAATATGCCACAGTACTGGAATTGCTGTGTGCTTGATGACCGAATTATGTAGTATTCAAGTGAGTACAGTATGTGTTTATGTAAGAATTACAATAGTTAATCATATTTTTTTTTAATATCTCGCTTAGCTTGCCAAATCTAATTTTCACAGGTATGTCACGTCTCACTCCAAGTCCTCCCATTGATGCACAGCCAGTTATGTATTGTGAACCAGCTTTCTGGTGTTCAATCAGTTACTATGAACTCAATACCAGGGTAGGAGAAACCTTTCATGCATCACAACCTTCTATCACAGTTGATGGCTTCACAGGTAAGATTCTGGTGCTAGTTAAATGCAGTGAAATGCCCATTTAAGGTTTTTTTTTTCAGAGAGCAGTAGATGTGAATGTTAAACTGAGGAAAATCTTATATGGAGGAAATTTGATAATGAAATTGTTGATGTAGGGTCATTGAAATTAAATTGTGAGGGATGGCCAAAAATGGAGGAACATACAAGTACAATGGGGGTTCAGTTTTGCTGTCATGGTTAGGTTCAGTGATTTTTATGTATTATACTTTATTGATGTTATTTGCATAGTGAGTTTTTAGTTAAATTAAAAAATATCTCATAAAAGTAGCAACAGCATAACACAACAGTGTATGTCGTTTGTGTTTTCCTTCTGTGTTAGGTTTCTGTTTTTGTTTTTGCATCCCTCATTGAACTTGCTGAACAGGTTATTGTATTAGTTAAGTTCTAGGCTTGTATTTAAGAGGTGCTCGGTTGAAATCTCGGCTGTGACATCTATGCTGACTGGAAGTTTTCAATATGTTTGAAAATTCAGATTATTGCCAGATTCCTGATTCCCATCCTGTCACAAGTCCTACATATTGAGGTTTTTCTGTACTTGCAAAGTGAGCTAGATATGTACAGTATGGATAATTTGTTCTACCAGGATCTTAGTCTTAATTATACATTTTCTAGTGTTTTCTAACAGTTTACAGAGACAACTACCAGTATGAATGAAAGTTTTTGGTATTGTTACATGTTAATATGACATGTATTTGTGTATCTGTGAGAATGGATGAAAAGAGCATACCTAATATTTTATTACGATAGGTTCATTGGATGTAAAACATGTGGTTGGAGTGGGAACACAGAACTTCATTTTTACAGCTTGGGGAATATCACCTCCAAACTTCTTCAGTGAGAAAATGACAATATTGCTATGGTAAGCATAGTTGTCAGGTTGTAATCACATTATATGAGTTTACTATGTACTGCAATATCAGCTGTGCCTTTTGACAGCAGTGTAAAGTGCAAGGTGATGACCAAAAGAACAGAGAGGGGAGGTGGGCTTAGCATAGGATGAAGAGATTTTCCACAAGTGAGATTTAGCTGCAGTTTCCACTTGTATGAATAATTTAGATACTTTCTAGGGTTTTAAGAGACCTCACCTATGCTGTAGTTTGCTAGAGTTGCAAAGAAACCAGTAAATTCATTTGTGGGGTCAGAAATCTCCCCAAATACAGTTGTAATGTTAATTACAGTACTTTGTCTTGTTTGATGTGTAGCAGATATTCTTGACTTCTTTTTGCCCATAGATCCTAGCAACTCGGAACGGTTTTGCTTGGGCCTCCTGTCAAATGTGAATCGAAATACAGTGGTGGAACAAACAAGACGGCACATTGGGAAAGGTGTACGTCTATATTACATTGGTGGGGAGGTGTTTGCTGAGTGTCTCAGTGATTCATCAATATTCGTCCAGTCACCGAACTGCAACCAGCGTTATGGTTGGCATCCAGCAACTGTATGCAAGATACCACCAGGTGAGAGATTGTATATGTTTGGTTGGGTTGTTATGTACTGTGGATCTTTTGAGGCCCTTTTGGCTTTTGCCATGGCTTTGGCATAGTACTGGGATAGCGTAGTCTGTACAGTGACTGGCTACGGGCTGGACGACCGAGGGGTCAGAGTTCAAGTCCTGGTGGGAGCAAGAATTTTCACTTCTCCATGTTGTCCAGACTGGCTCTGGGGTCCACCCAGCCTCCTATCAAATGTGTGCTGGGGGCTCTTTCCCCAGGTGTAAAGTGGCTGGTGCCTGAAGGTGACCACTCACCTCCAACTTGTACTCAGACCAAGAAAACGTGAATCTCTGCATCCACTCCCTCATATGTCTACATGGCATAGTGCTTAATTAGTTAAGCACAGGTACAGCTTTTATTGGCATAGTACCATATCAGATTTCAGCCAACCATCGCTTGGCCTCAGCTGTTAGGATGCCAAAGTCCAGGGTGTTTCTGGATGCTACTGCTATATTTCATTTTATGAGTCACACATAAATCCTTTGTTGAAATGGCTCACCACCCATGGGGAAGATAAATGCTAGGAAATAGGAATGGGAGTGACTTCAGTCTGAAGTTGTTAGTACAGAAATTTGACATTTAGATCACTATTACATATTTAAATATATGAATAAGTAGTAGAAGGCCCACATTTTCTAGACAATCGGCTCATAGATGGCGGTAAGGTTGTTAGCCCTACGCGCTGGCCACCCTTTACCCCCAAGAACATTCCAAGAATATTCCTGTTACTCATTTCTGTTAGAGGCTGAGTTGACCCCAGGGCCATAGTGTGGCTGGAAGGATTAGGTAAGTTGAAAGAATCCAATGACCTCATTGGGATTCGATCCTGCGACCTTCCGGCTTGTAGCATAGTGCCTCAACCAATGGGAATATCAACATCTCACAACCCTATTGGCCTCCACGGCCTGTTACAGGGATACCTTTACTTTACTTTACTTTACTTTACTAGTAGAAGTCCATAAAGATTAATAGGAGCAAGTAAAATTTTTGCCCTTACGTGTTTCAGCTGGTACTGGCCTTCACCAGAAGACATAGCCAACACTATAAAGGAACTTCTTACATATGTTGATTCAGCATAAGTTGTCACTGTAATATTGTAAAGGGGCTTATAGTAGCTATATAAATCAAGAATAAATTATTAAGAGAGTTAAACTAAGTTGTGGATGTCAAGAGTAAGTGGTTGAAATTAATTAAAATAAGTTAAAAAGTCATGTTGAGAATGGCCTTAGTTTCTGTTGGTCATACTGTAGAATCTTACTGACTGTTGTATTGTGGGCTGTATGTCCATCTGTGTGATGCTGTTACATGTAATTTGGTTAAGTGCATTGTAGTGTAGGGACATGCCATGGCAAATTGGATTACACATCTTCACACAGATGAACATATGGTTGGAGATGTCTCTTGCAAAGGAGTATTACATATTGTCTGTAATAACACTAATGAAATATGTATTGCAGAATGCCTGTGAGTATTAAAATTCCTTTTGTTGTAATGTTTTAATTTTACAGGGTCATGTATTTAATGTACACTGAAAGTGTATAATTTTTTAATCGCGTGCCGGTGTTTTCCATTTGAATTTCCTTAACAGTCTGTCATATTGATATTCAGCTGTCTCATCATGTACAAGACAGAAATGAGTATTGTATGCTGTGTAGCAGGATGCAAAGATCTATGCATGTAGTTTTTCTTTTGCAGTTTTGATAATGTATCTTTAAAATAAGCGCAATATATATATTGTGGTTTTGTGTAAATCTTGCCCATAGGCTGTAACTTGAAAATCTTCAACAACCAGGAGTTTGCAGCACTGCTGTCACAGTCTGTCAGTCAAGGTTTTGAAGCCGTGTATCAGCTCACAAGAATGTGTACTATTCGAATGAGTTTTGTGAAGGGCTGGGGTGCTGAGTACAGGTAAGTACTTTTGTAGCCTTGATGGTGTGCCATAAAGTAAGATCTCTATGCAGTGATATTCAGAGAACTAAAAATTTTGTTAGATAAGAATTTTAAAAAGAACACTTATTTTTTCTAATTACATCTATCTTTATTCTATAGGCTCATATTTACAGTGCAAATTCTAGTGTTTGTAGGAATTTGTTATAGGTTAGTTTGAAAGTTTTGAAATAGGTGTACAGAGTAGTGTGTGACCTAGCTGTGCTGCTTATTTTTCTTTCGTAAGGTTGGTACAGGTATATTGGTTAAGGCATGATTTAGCCACAAGGCCAAAAATGAAAATAGAACTATGTTTCACTGTGATCACTCGAGTGTTTTGGTTTGACTATAGTAGAAGAAGTGGGTTTGTGTTGGTCAATTTGAGGTGAACACTGCTGTGTTTACATATGATCAGCCAGTGAGCACTTGAATCAACTGAAGTAGAAAGACTGTCCTTTTGCCCAATTTGATTCTTGCCACACAACTGAATTGCCTGTGTAAACACTTGCATTGTCAACTTTTTCACTGTCACTTTGGTTATTTGTCTGTTTAGTCATTTTTCATAGTTTCAGCAGAATTAAGTTGAAAGGACAGGTGACGATGTAAACACTTTTTGATTTGGCTAGCTGTTCAGTGGGCTTAAGCTTGACTGAATCAATGTAAACACGCCTTGTATCCGAGCTGCCATATCTGCCTGTCCAAGAAGGGTCTGTTCACAGCACTGCAGTTATATGGTATCTGTGATTAGCAAATTGGGAGGAATGAGGTGATGGTTTTCAGATGTCAGGAGCTGCATTGCTGGCACAATTATAAAGTCATTGGTGCCACTGCGTTGCAATCAGCAGTAGAATCTGGCATCAAGTTCTTTCAAAGCAATTTCCATCTATGTGTTATATTTTATTATTTCACAGTTGTTTTATAGGTAAATTTTTAGTTTGTTTTTGTGTGTGGGACGTTATGGGGGGAGAAAAAGAAGCACACGAAGTTTTCTTTAGACAAGAAAAAAATTATAGAATTTTGACATGTACCTAGCTATAATCCTCGGATATTTAATGTGTGTAATGTAATGAAATTTTGTTATAACGAATGTAATTTTGTCACACAGTTTCGTTATAATGACTTTTCACTGTAATGGAAATATGTGTGATGTCATATTCATTTGCTTTTAGAGCCTGAATATAATGATGAGTAAGACCAATTTTTCATTTAATTTTTCCTTTGTAACTAATTTGTGTATGACCAGAGGGTACAGTGAGGCTATATAAGAGTAGCCTCTGCAAGTGGTAAAAATGTATCAGGGGCCCTGCATGTGCATGTATTATTATGATCTCGTGTTTATGCTGACAGTTGAAACATAATATTGTAGTTAAACTATGTTGAATCTGTAAATGATGATAAATGAAAAAACATTGTTGAATTTTAGCAAATATTACTGTACTTGAATAAAAATATTTTATGTGTAGCATGGAAAATACCTTGCTTTTATCTTTTTATTGTTTTTTAAAGTGCCATTTCTGTTGTGTGTAGAATGTCTTCTGAGTGCTAGAGTTACAATGTGACTTCTGACCTGCTTCTTTGTAGTGATCTTCAAACTATCAGCTTATTTTCACTGGAACCACTTTGTAACAATACAGCCACATCTAATTTAATTATAATTTTATGTTTGTAAATAATTAAGTGAAGGAGGGTAGTTTATTTTAAATTTTTACAGAAAAAGAATTCAGTTTTAGAGCATTAACTTTAATATCACTGATATGATGATGATGATAACCATAAAAATAAAATGCCAGAACAATTATATTGTGCCCTATTTACTCCATGCAAGAACTGTTGAGTCACAGAAACAGCCATTGCTAAGTAATACACACACGCAACAGTATAACAGTGGGGTTATTCATCAGTTTCTAGGCAACGGCTCGGGTAAACACATTTCCAGGTATTGGGCCATGCTATGCAATGTGGTAACATCAACAATACGGACTGTGTTTTCCGTGGGGTCTGTGGAGAATGCTTATAGGAGAAGTGAATTCAGAAGCTAGGAGCACTTGAGAGTGCAAGGATGAGAATGAAGTACATTCTTAGTGAATTGTGAAGATCAGTTGAGTACAGATTAGAACAGAGGAGTACAAAGTAATTGAAGACAAATACGTGGTGCAATCCAAAAGTTCCTGAAATATATTAATAAAAATTATTGCATCTTACCTAGATTTATTCTGCACTATCACCTTCAAAGTAGTCCCCTTGGGAGCGCATACACCGATCCCAGCGTTTCTGCCACTTTTCAAATGCATCCTGGAAGTCTTTCTTTGTTAGGGCATTTAGTACCATCTGCGTTTCCACTTGAATTTCCTCAACTGTATCAAATCTTTGCCCTTCAACTTGATTTTCATCTTGGGGAAGAGAAAGAAGTCGCATGGAGCTAAGCCTGGCGAGTACGGTGGGTGGGGAACAACTGCCATCTTGTTTTTAGTCAAAAATTCCTGCACAATGTAAGCCATATGAGGTTGTGTGTTGTCATGGTGGAGTTCCCAGTCGTTCGTTCGCCACTTATCTGAATGTTTTCTCCTCATGTTCTCCCTCAAATGCCTTAGAACATCACGATAGAACTCTTTATGGACTGTCTGACCAGGAGGGATGAACTCCTTATGGACAATCCCGTCAATATAAAAAAAAAACAGATCAACATGGACTTAATGTTGCTCTTGACTTGTCGAGCTTTTTTTGGCTGAGGTGAAGTAGGGCTCTTCTTCCATTGCGATGATTGCTGCTTGCTTTCAGGGTCGTACCCATAAAGCCAACTTTCATCACCAGTGACAACCTTCGAAAGAAAGTTTGGATCCTCTTAAAGCTGTTGCTGAAGTTCCCTGCAGACTTCCAAGCGATGCTGCTTCTGTTCGTTTTGCAGCAGTCGTGGCACAAACTTTGCCGCAATCCTCCTCATGTTCAGTTCCTCTGACAAAATTTGTTGACATGCACCATAACTTAGTCCCAAGGTGTTACACAGGTCTTGGATGGTCAGTCTACGATCTTGCAGAATCAGATCCCTAACTTTCGTGACATTTTCTGGTGTTTTGCCCGTTGACGGCCGTCCCGAACGATCGTCATCATCAGTCAATATTCGGCCATTTTTAAAATGCTTATACCAGTTGTAAGTTTGTGTCTGGCCTAAACTGTTTTCACCAAAAGCTTGCTTCAACATTTGGTGCGTTTCTGCAGCGGTTTTCCCAAGTTTGAAACAAAACTTTATACAGACATGCTGCTCTCTCAGGTCAGCCATCGCAAAACCGCAGACTCACAGAAACACAACAAAGGAAATATGTTCAGCAACAATAAACCCAACCACTCAACTCGACGCCGCTTTCCACACTGATTCAAGAAGGATGTGTGAGGAGACACCTAGTGGTATTTCGATGTACTCATAACCATTCGTCCACAAAATTCAAATTTCGGAAACTTTTGGATTGCCCCACATAGTTTCTGTGTTGAGATCTATTGTTAGGAGACGACTAGTGGAAACTGAGAATCCTAGTGCGTGTGCAACGGTGAACTGTAAATTGCGTAAATCAGCAATAGAGCTGTATTAATTATAGTTAAGAGAGGTTGTAAACAAGAAGCCAATAAATCCAATCATCTGAACTAGAACCCATTATTTTTGTTATGCGTACTTCTACGTGGGACGGCCATCAATGGGCAAAACACCAGAAAATGTCGTGAAAGTTAGTGATCTGATTCTGAGACTGACCATCCAAGACCTGTGTAACACCTTGGGACTAAGTTATGGTACATGTCAACAAATTTTGTCAGAGGAACTGAACATGAGGAGGATTGCGGCGAAGTTTGTGCCACGACTGCTGCAAAACGAACAGAAGCAGCATCGCTTGGAAGTCTGCAGGGAACTTCAGCAACAGCTTCAAGAGGATCCAAACTTTCTTTCGAAGGTTGTCACTGGTGATGAAAGTTGGGTTTATGGCTACGACCCTGAAAGCAAGCAGCAATCATCACAATGGAAGAAGAGCCCTACTTCACCTCGGCCAAAAAAAGCTCGACAAGTCAAGAGCAACATTTAAGTCCATGTTGATCTGTTTTTTTTATATTGACGGGATTGTTCATAAGGAGTTCATCCCTCCTGGTCAGACAGTCCATAAAGAGTTCTATCGTGATGTTCTAAGGCGTTTGAGGGAGAACATGAGGAGAAAACATCCAGATAAGTGGCGCACGAACGACTGGGTACTCCACCATGACAACGCACGACTGCATACGGCTTACATTGTGCAGGAATTTTTGACTAAAAACAAGATGGCAGTTGTTCCCCACCCACCGTACTCGCCAGGCTTAGCTCCATGCGACTTCTTTCTCTTCCCCAAGATGAAAATCAAGTTGAAGGGCAAAGATTTGATACAGTTGAGGAAATTCAAGTGGAAACGCAGACGGTACTAAATGCCCTAACAAAGAAAGACTTTCAGGATGCATCTGAAAAGTGGCAGAAACGCTGGGATCAGTGTATGCGCTCCCAAGGGGACTACTTTGAAGGTGATGGTGCAGAATAAGATCTAGGTAAGATGTAATAGTTTTTATTAATATATTTTGGAAACTTTTGGATTGCACCACGTATACACAAGACAATATGATTTGATTCATGTTAAAACATAGCTGAGGAACTATCAGATTCAGATCCAATATCACAAACTTATTTTAATGTTTTTTATACTGTGAACTGATCACGTGTGCTCAGGGTACTTGCATTAAAACCACTGCGCCCAAAATATTCGTTCATTAATCAGTTAATATATGACATCAAGTGTAATGTATCAGTACACTGTTTGAAGGTTATTTGAGGACATTATTTTTGGAGTTTTCTGTGTAGCTGCACATACAACCACCAGTGTTTGTCCTTTTAGCAGATAGTTTTATATCAGGACTTGTTGATCAAAGAGCTAATAATGATTGGAAATCAGACTTGGTCAGAGAACCACAGGTGCTAGGACACTACACAGCACTGAATGTGTGGGATTTAACCAGAAGAGATTGTTGGTGCAGAGTAATTAATAACAGACAGTTGTAGGATTCCAAACATGCCATAGTAGACTGTACTGTTGTCCTGCTTACTGGTAAAATACGGAAATGTTTCAGCTGCTCTGGTTATGTTTAGTGCTGAGATTAAAGAGTGCATTGAGCTATGCCTCTACTTTCCCAGCTGTCTTCAAGGTGCTTAAGCACAAGGGCTACTTTGTCTAAAATATTGTCATGAGTAAGGGGTTAGTGTGACTAATTGTGGGTTTTAGATTTGATGATTACATTTATTGGACATCTCTATTACAATTAAAATTGATTATAACAGCTCACACATTGAACTCCTTGTTAATGACGTCTGCTTGAGATATCTCTCACTGTTGTCTGAATCTTGAACAGTCTCTTGCCTCTTGAATTCTGGATCTGGGTCTCTATTCCTCAAACTCACTTCATGTTATAACTGTTAGTTGGCCTGCACAGAATACAACATGTCCAACAGTTAATTATCCTCTGTTGTCTGGTTAGTTGTCCTAGGAATCTTGTGTTTGTAACTTGTTACCTGGCAATGACTCGTTTGCTGCTATCTATTTTAACAGAAACTAGTGTTTACTTAGCCCATTGCTCATCAGTTTATGTCTGGCTCTGCCTCCACTATTCTGGCTTTTAGGCACCATGTCACAATATAGTTAGTGCCTCGTAACTTTAGCCGCGCTTAAAGGTAACTGCTGTTGTGGAGTATGTGAAGCTGTATTCTTGCTGTGGTGATGTTCAGAGCTACTCCCCGAGCGGAAAACATTGCCTACAGAGACCAGGAGTAGATACCGTGGAATCGATATAGTGCAGCGAAGCGAAAGCACTAGCTTATCATACTTCCGGCCAGCATGACACCATATCAGAATTGCAATATATACAATTCATGACATAATAAGAAACACGGTAACTGTACAGTAGGTAATACAGTGTATACTATTATAAAACAAACAGTACAAAACAATACCTTACAATCCTTGACAATGCATGTCGAATCCACAGTGTACTGGCTCGGTGCACTCAGTCTGGATTGCCAGACGAACCACTACAAGCACTGTCTGTGTCATCCTCACCGTCAGTATCATCCTGCAGATTGATTATTTTGTCTGTCACATCTGGCACAATGCCATCTTTCTCGCAGTACAGTTTTTCTTGCGTTTCGATGTGGTGACAAACCAGCCCAGTTGTCTGCCGTAACCTTTTGTATGGCTTCATTTGTCACTTCCAGTAATTTTGCAAGTGACAAATCCACTGTTACGTTGTGCTCGCTGACTATCCATTTTATTTTTGCCCATGCAAGCTTGATCGGATTGAGATCACACATACGGCGGCAAACGGACCACAGAATGCCCATGTCCGGACAGAATGGAATCGATCTTGAACACTTTCTCTTTCAGTTTTAGGGAAAGAATTTTATTGTAGAGGTCATTCTTCTGCATACTCTCATTACAGTCGACACCCTTGTTGCATAGCCACGATATCATATCCTTTAGTGAGTAAGGTGTTGGCGGCTTGTCTATTTGGATACAGTGGTATGGGCTATTGTCTAGAACAGTGATGGGCTGTGGAGGAATATGGGGAAGTAATTTTTCCGTTAGCCATTTCTGAAAGCTGTGACTGTTCATCTGACCGTGGTACTCACCTGTTGTACCACCAGTCTTGTAGACAAATTTGGCTTCTGGAATGAAACCGTTCGAGGTCCCTGCATGTAGTATTATGAGTCTGTTGTTGGAGTTAACATTTTCCTGGAGTCCCATGATGTCATTACTCTGGCAGCACTTTCGAAACGTCAGATTGCTGTGTACACACATCTCATCGATGTACACGATTGATCGTCCTTCCTCACGATACTGCTATATTTTAACCAAGTATTTACTTCGCCAGTTCACAGTGTCATGTCTTTCGTTCAGAATTGTGCGCTTTGTCTGACATTGCCGCTATCTAAACTCCATGCTTTTAATAACTCTGCACAAAGACGTTTTCACCAAGGAAAAGTTATTTTAATTTTAATTATTTGCAAAAGCTTGGGGATGGTGGTCATCCGTTTCTCCTGTATATAGAAAATGTGAATTTCATTTCTAATAACGCATTTATCAAAGTCGTCTACACACAGCACTGCGAGAAATGCATCTTCTATTCTTCCCTGGTGATTGCAGCTGTCTGTTGGTGTTGTTTTCCTTTCATTTCTTGTCCTCCTTTCTGATGTTATTTTACTGTGGCGTAAGATACAGCAGCACATTCCGTAGCTTTTGGGAGTGGAAATAACAAATGTTTATTCAGCTTTTCCTCATCGCACTTCTCTACAATATTAGCTGTTACTTCCCTGGCCTCACTATGAATTGTTCCGCGCGATTGTCGGTGTTGCATGATAGTGACACGAACACCATGTAATGCAGTCGCTATGACTGGTGCCACCTAACAAGCAACACAACGTACTATACACCTGACCACCCTCCAAGATGCTACATTCCAAACTGGTAGTACCCACGCTGACGTAAGCTGATAAGACTGCTCCCCCAGCTCCGCGAGAGATGGTAAGACACCTCTACCACGGGTAGAGTTCCGAGGAACTAACAGTATGTAACTTTGTTTACTGAATGCATGCTGTGACATTTCAATAGACAATTTTTATCTCATTTTTACTACAAGATGTTCTCACATTGATGAGTATGAAAAGTTCTGTATTCTGAGGCATAATGCTATATAGTCTAGTGAAAGTCAACCGATGTTCCAGAGGAACGTATTACCACCATCTACAGGGCTGAGGGGTTAGCCAAGAATGAAACCATTAAGAACCAGTCAGCAGGCAGAACATGCTTGGCTTAATCTTCGACTTTAAAAGTGGGGGTCATGTGTTTCTCCAACATGTCATTTGACTTTCACAAGACTGCACTGCTTTTGTTACCAGAAGACTCTTCAAGATAAGAGGTTTGTATCTGTACACGTACAATATTGGTTCTAGACAGTAAGCTGTGGAGCTGATGTCTGTCTTATGGGTCCATCATAACTTTGTGGGAGGACTGTTTGACTATTCCCCCTGAGTCTGTGTTTGCAAAGGATCTTGCTGTGGTAATGCATGTTGTTTGTAGCCCAGATTAAAAATCATGGAGTGGGAACATTTCTGTGCTACCAGCCTTTTCAAGCTTCCACATTTTGTTGTACCAGGCATATGTCTCATCATGTGCTTGCCATAGTATTTAGATACATCTATGAGATAATTAGTAGTAAAGCAGATTCCTTAGATGTTTTAAGCCATTAACAGATTTCTTTAGACTAAAAATTTAAATAGAGAAGCAGAATTTTGTTAAAACGAATCGGGTGAAAATGTAAATTTTTCTTATCATTAGTGCCTCAGTAGTATTGCTTTTGAGGGATTTAGGCTGATGTTTTGGGAAATAAGAATTTTAATACTTATAGGAATAAACTACCCAAGTATCTTTACGTTTGTTGCTGCAGTTGTTTGATATTTTGTTGTAGTTAGCTGAACAGTTCCTTTAGTGTATGTAGTGTCATTCCAGCCTTAAGAAGCTGCAGTTTGTGGCTGTCAGACATCTTGAAACAGAATGCCTTTCTGTTGTTCTTCATTTTTGTTTTCACTCCTCTGCTTCAAAGAAGTAAAGTAGGAGTGGACAGAACTTAATTACCAACTTCATTTGTATACATTTCTGAGGCTGTTTTATTATTTTTCTGACATGTTATTCGGTGAAATAGAATTTATGGTAATCGTTATAATTTGTTACTATCAGGTAGTTGATTTGAATTTGTTTAGGAGGCAAACAGTGACTTCAACTCCATGCTGGATTGAGCTGCACTTGAATGGACCTCTTCAGTGGTTGGACAGAGTCCTCACGCAGATGGGATCACCACGATTACCCTGTAGCTCTATGTCGTGAAGCAGACCTGAAATTGGAGGTCTGAGAGCTGTTAGGTGCTGCTAGTTGTACCTGCCACCAGAAAACTAGCATAGCCAGTGCCATCAGAAGATATCCTCAGCACAACGACAGAGATGGAGGAGAAATTTTATCTGATGCAGAACCTCGCAAGTGCATGTGCACAGATGTGTATGTCTTTGCATGTACTGAGTAGGCTGCATGGATTATTATGAGTTGGGGTGTACATAGAAGCTTTAAAGAAATAATTATAGAGACCAAGTACACACACACCGAATTGAAGGTACTGTTTTAGTGATGACAGTGTAACGAGAAATTCGTTTTCAGTTTGCTTTCTGTTGGAGAGAATGACTCGTGTTAACTTCTCCACTGTAGCCATTGCAGAATGGCAGATAGGGGACAATAGGTGAGTGATGGTCTCACTGTCAACATGATTGGTTGATGGATTAACATACCAAAAGATCAGAATTTCTATACAAACTGTGGTAATTTATTTTTAAAACCCCATCATAAACACCTCATATTACAGTTTACAAAGTATTGTTTGTTCTGTTTCTTACTGTGACTAGCGTAATAAGTCTCTTGTGAATAAGAGTGGCTCAGATGTTACTATATACATCCAACCATTGCACAGCAGTAGTTGTCATCTGACCTCTTGACAGGTGGTAGTGGAGTGATTTGTATTTTTGATAAATGTATATCAGAATTGTTCCTTTTTCTCTCTGGCTTTGAGTTAGTTCCATGATGGGCCTATATGTGTTGACATTCATCTCTTCTCCTGCTTTCCTTCTCTGTGTAACAGTGATGTGAGACCCCTGTAATGTGTATAATGGACAAATAATCATTTATAACCTTAGAAAAGTTGCGGAGTGATATTTATAGAGACAAGTAAACAAAGGGGGAGAAACTTGGAACATTTTTTCAGATACTAAGGTTTGTCTGTTTTGCAGAATGAACAATTCTTGTCTCCACATCAATTTCTTTTAGAATGAAATTTGTACAAAATTTTGTCTTATATGTGATTATCATACATGCTGTTGACTTCTGTCTTATTTTCTTGTTTATCTTTTATTTCAAGTGCAGTGAGTTATAGATTCTGTACTCCTTGGCACCATTAATGTCTATTTTTTCCACATTTGTATGTGTAATTCCCTCTTGTGGACGTGCGTGTGTGTACATACGTTTACTTTTTGTGGTGAAGTGCCCAGCATGTATATGGTTTACTTGAAAATGAAGTTTCAAGTTCCAGTGTACAATATTGGGGAGTGGGGATAGCTCAGTCAGTATAGTGATCAGGGTTTTATTCGTGCTAATTGTGGGAATACTTCTGTTTACTGCTATGTCTGTATTGGCTCTGGGGCATGTAAGCGTCCTGTTGATTGAGTATTGAGAATTTTCATTGGGGATCAACTGCGATGTGAAGCTGACCATTTACCTTCACCTATTGCTGAGGTTAAGAATGCGTGGAGCATGGCCTCCACTCCTGTATGTCATCGTGGCATGGTGCTTAAATAAGTACAGGGACAACTTTATCCTTCTATATAATATTACAAAGAAAGATGGTAAGACAACGTGTATTCAGCCTTGAAGTTACGACTCTCCCTAGTTGGAGAGTTTTGTGAAAGCTACTTGATACGTGGCAGCAGGGACCCCCAAGCCTACTGTAAATTCGTCACATGTGAAGATACTGTAGTGAATGATTGTTAAAATGAATGATTTATGAAGAATTTGGATTTTATAACTGGCAGTTTACTTTCTTTGTGTATAGTTCTGAGTGAGCAGCATGCAGTCCAGTGTTTTCCCATTTGATGTGTGGGTTTGATATTACTTCTGAATGGAACAATGTTGTCAATTCTGCTTGGTGCTAAAATAAACCTGATAATTCAGTGAGGCTAGGAATATATGTATGCAGGAACCTTCTATCCTTATATGAATCTGTGGTCTTCACACCCGCACAGGAATGTTTTTTGTGTGATTATTATGACTGTGTCACGGAAAAGTAGCTCTTTCATGCATTTCAAGAGAATTGCTTGATATAAAATCAGATTTTCTTCTCATTCTTCTTTTCCTTGGAAAATTTTGCCCACTGAGATTCTGTAAATGTTGTTAGTTTGTAAAGTGTTACAATTTTTTCTTCTTTTTATTTACAAGCTTCATTATTTTCTAATCATAATTAAAGTAATTAAAGAGATTGTGATTAGAGTTCACTTTCTTTTATTTAATAGGAACAAATGAAAGTTTTATTTTATTTTTGAACATCATTACTTACTGTTTGAGATGAGACAAGTTGATAGTGTGTTCCATTTTTCAGTCTTTGATGTGTCATTCATGTTGAACATGTACAGTATAGATGACATATTTTATCCTACTATATGAAGTTTGTGTAAATATTGCGCTTCAAATTACTCTGAGTATAGCCAAACCAAACAGTATACAAGATTGCACTGTGCTGTACTGAATCATTGAAACCTTTCATATGAGTGTAGTGTTTGATGTAGCAGATGGGAAACATTGTGAATTGTTATGTACAGGGTATTTCAAGTCTTGATGTCAGTACAGGACTACATTTTTGAGGTCATTCCTCATCAGAAATGGTGTATGAATGTGGGCCAAATTTTCACTGTCTTGGAGCTGGAATATTAGAAGTTTGAGTTGTATAACTAAACTGCTTTGAATTCTTGCATATGATAGGGCCATATGCAATATCTGCAACATCCAAAATTTGACATAGTAATTCGTCTCTTGTGCCTACTTTGTGTTTGTACACCATTTCTTTCATATAACACTATAAGTAGAAGTCTAGGGGGCTGAAGTCTGTGGACCTTGGGAAACCATGGGGGTATGACTAGTTTAAGTTCATCCTCAGTACACATGCATGAGTAGGCAGTTACATGTTCATACAGTATCAAAGCCAGTTGAGTTATGTGTATATCGTTCTTGAACATCAAATACCCATATGTTTGTTGAAAGTATGACGTTCTGACTGGAATATCCTCAGGAATAAGCTCTTGAAGTGTTGACAAGTTACAAAGCATGGGTTCATCATACAAGAAATCTTCTGTATTTTAGGCAGTTTGATATTGCCTTCTCACTGCAGTGCCTCAAGTTCAAGCCCAAATTTTTTAAATTTTCCCATATTTCCTGGTATACTAACTAGGCTATGGGCTAGACAGCCAAGGAGTCAGGGATCAATTCCTGATAGGGGAGAGAGATTTGTCCCTATATTGTCCAGATTGGCTGTGGGGCCCATCCAACCTCCTATACGGTGGTTACAGGGGACTGTTTCCTGGGTGTGAAAGAGGCAGGGATGTGAAGCTGACCACTATCTTCTGTCTCGTGCTTGGCTTAAGACTGGCAGGGTAATACCTCCACTCCCTCGTATATCTTAATGGTGTAGTGCTTAATTAATTAAGGCTGGGGATAATTTTACTTTTTATTTTTAATCATCTGTTATTGCTCGGTTCTCATCTGTCACTGGCACCCAAAATGTGTGGTATCCCTGACTAGGCAGCACATTGCTACGTCCTTGGTATTTAAATTGGGGGCTTCATCTCTAGTCCAGCACATAGCTGGACATACAGTAAAGGAATTACGTTTTGGTGTGAAAACATTTTCAGTGGTGTCTACTTAAATGGGATTCCTTGTATGGCATATGCATGTAGATGGTTCACTAGACAGTCATGTCTGGCAAAAAAATTTTCAAAATTAGAAAATCTGAGAAGAATACCATGCTCTTCAGTTGTAATAACCTCCATTATTAACAGTCCCCTTTATAACGTGTATGACATTTGCACTTCTGCTGCTGTTGTCATCTGGATTACAATTACATTATCTGAAGAACAATCCTTTATAGCTTCAGAATTGTCAGTATGAAACACTACCCTGCTCTCATGATCTTCACATCCTTGAAGTGTCAAGAAAATATCACCATGCTCCCTTCAAATCACTGCAGAAATTATATGTGGAATGGTTTATAAAACAATGTCCCTGGTGCAAATAGTTAATCAGACAGGACAGTCCACTTAAGGAATGCATTCTATACAGAAGTGAGATGAACTTCATCGTGGTGTCTCCTGACTTGCAGTCAGAACTTTTTTATGTGATGTCATCAGGTACTGTTGTACAAACAAATGCTTTATAATCGTTACAAGTGAATAATACTGAATAATATTCATACTTTATATTTAAGGTTTTTGAAATTCTGACTTAAGCTTCTTTATTGTCTTTCATAGTTCTCTTGGCAAATATTGGGATAGTAGTATCCTTAGTAATTTGTGGCTGTTGTCTTCTCAGTTAATAGAATATCTTGCAGTCGTTTCCATTAGTATGGAACATTACATTGTAGAAACAGTATATTTAAGCAATTTTATCTTGACTGTAATTGCTGCATATATTGAATTTCCATTTTGGATGTGTGGCAGTGGATGATTCTTCATATGAAACCATTCAATTTTGGTAAATGCCATTTAAGTTTATTTTTAGTGTGTTTGAAATAAACATCGGTTTCTGTATCAGAAGAAGGAAAAACCCCTTGTTTACACACAATAATCAAAAGCATCCATAAAGTTCATATAGTTAATTATATTCATACTTAAACATGTAAAAAGAGAAGTGTGAATTGAATCAGGGTGTTTGTACAATTTACACACAGCAGTGGGCAATTTTATCCTTCACTCTTCTGTATGGTAACCTTTATCTTTATTACGACAGCTGTGTTATTGTGAATTTAATTTTTTATGCCATTAACAACTAGAGTTTTATTTATTTTCCACTTTGCATTTTGGTTCCCATAAATCATTTGGTATGATTGTTTATATTATGTACCATTAATTTCTGAAGATGCCAAAATTTCGGTGGCCACCAGTGTCCATGGAAGAGGAGATTCTGTCAGAAGATGTATAGCACTGTACCTGTGTCTGATTTCATATTTGCTATGTCTAGCTAAAGTATCCACTTGATTAATTTACTGTATCATCTTTTAGCATCATATCCATTACATTAAGGGAGCCAACAATAGGACTTAAATATGTGAAGGGCTTCCTGTGCGGACCCTCTACTATTAAACTTAGGAACTATTCAGACTGAGAGAAATGAGCTGAGGTGGATGACAGGACTCTTTCCAGGACACTATCACCTGAAGGGACATATTTTTAGTTTGGGACTAACCAACAGCTCTTTGTGATAGGTGCTTGGACGAAGATGAAACAGCCTCACAATTCCTGTATGGATGTGAGGCTGTAGGTTCTTTAAGATTTTGTCACCTAACGCATTACTTTGTGGATCCAGGTGACAATGTAAATGACCCTTAAAGTAAAATACCTCAGTTTGTTCGAAGTGTGGGATTATTAGAGGACTAGCCAGAATGGGGTGCACAATAGGTTATTGCAACAATCTTCCCTTTTTTATTTATTGTCTATTTATGCACCATAAAAATTTAGGTATAACAAACCGAGTGTATGCAGTGGCATGTGTAGCAGCGGTTAGCAGAGGAAGAATCTCCTTTTGCATGAACATGGTGATCACTACATCATACAACTTCTTTATGAAAGCAATATATAACATTATACTAAATATGCATAATTGTACCTGATGATGGTTTATGAGAACCATATACATAATAAATAAAATGTGGTTCTTGATATATCAGTAAATTTCATTATGAGCTTAGTTTGCTTACGCATGTTCTACGTGCAGTGACCCACAGGCAAAGGAAGAAGAAGAATGATGGTATAGAAAGACATTTACACATTTGATAGTTGTTTATATGAGAGGAAAGATTTAACTTTCTGAAGCTCTAATTATGTAAACATCCTGTGCAACTCCCATTTTCAACTCTTATGGAAGTAGCATTTTGACCACCAGAGTAAAGTGGCTTGAAAGTATATATGATCACCAAATAAACTGATTTTTCGCATCTGCTAGTGACTTCTTGTGGAATAACATAATTAGATGCAAAATGTTGAAGTAAGAACTTCATAGTGTACATCGTGGAAGCAATTGTTTTGCTGTACATTATATTGCTTAGCATTGCAGGCAATGTGAGCATATGCACAGCTTATTTGTATGTCCATATGACGTCAGTGAGAAAGGAAGGTGGAATGGTTTGAGAAAATAATTATATTAGCAACAGGTCATGGAATGCAAAGTTTTTCCAAGTGTTGCAAAATAATTGGTTGAAGCAGTGATTGTAAGACTGTTGTGCAAAGACAGCTTGCTGCTTAATTGAATCTGGCAGGTGAGTGTAGTGAGTGAAGGTTAATTATGACTGAGAGAGAATAATGTATAAATTGTGATTAATACACAAGTTCAGTTTGGTGAAGAAATTATTTGGAGTTCTGGCGATATTTTCACTGCAATAATAAAGTGCTGCTTGATGATGTTGAAACTGACACGTGTCTCACAAACATCAACCTGAGAGAAAACCAGAATTCATTTTTTTTGTTGTGATATGCTTCTAGTCACATTCTCTCCATAATTTTATAACAACTTCTTGGAAAGAATCATCATATCTTTATCTGGTTTAGTTGTTTATATTGGTGACTACTAACTGCTGTATACTGTCTTCAGTTTGTGGAGCAGACATTAATTTGCATACAGGTAGTTCTGTTGATGTGAAGAAGTGAAATTCACTCTACTGTAATAAGTATGTGACCTGGAAGCTACTGACTGAAGGCAGAAATTTACCAGCAGGCTAACATGAAGTATGGTTGTGGAATATACATCTCAGTCTTTAGCCTGTACATGTACAGAAGGAAAAATTGTTTCAAATCAGAGGCATTGAAGTGTTTTACCTAGGATAAACCATTTTGAAGCTGCACTTTTTACATGTCAGTAGGGAAAAGTTATGGCCATGTTGCCAAGGTGATGTGATGGCGGAAGGGAGGTAATGTTTCCAGGCTAAGAGGGAAGTGGTAGTGAAGAAGTGATGTGAAATAGTAGTGAGCAAAAGCACTGTTTTATTGTAGTCATACAGAAACTGTGTGTGGCACTGTGGCTGACCATGGAAAAATTTTGCAAGTCCTCAAGACCCCTTGTGCCTGGAACACCACAGAGGTTTTTACATTTACTACAGTAAGTGTTCAGACTGGTGTACATCTTGCTGCCCCTATGTGTGAATATGATACCATGAGCTCCCCACTAGAAACAAGAAGGAATTTTAAATGACAGAACCAAGACATATCAGGGCCTTCAATGACCCAGACCCAAATTTGATTCTTGATTGAATGTGCAGTGAAGGTCTCAGTTTTGGATAATGGCAGGTTAGTCAATTTTTATCAGTTTACTTGCACTAGTTTAGGTGAGAGTTTCCCAACAGCATTGTGCATTTACTTTTCCTTGCCAAAAGTGATATAGTGTGCATATCATCATCATCAGTAATCTGTCAAGACGACAGGTCCACAGTCTCTTCCAAAAGAATTCCTCCATTTAATGCAATCTAGAGCTTTCTCCTTCAAATGACAGTATCCTCGTCTGTCTCCAAGGTCATCCAGCATCTTCTTACGTCTTCTTCCTCGTCGTCTTGTCACTTCTATCCGCCCCTCTATCTTTCCTTCGATAACTTCTTTTAGAAGGCAGTTTCTGCGTAAAACACGACCAATCCAATTAGCCTTCCGTTTTCTTATTTCATGTAGGATATTCCTCTGCTGACTGACTCAAATTAACACTTGTTCATTTCTGACATAATCAGTCCAACTGCTCTTCTCCATCCCTCTCCAACACCACATTTCAAAACTTTCCAGATGTTTCTGATCTACTGCCCTAAGTGTCCATGTTTCAGCCCCATACAGAGCTATGCTCCAAATGTAGCATTTCACTAGTTTCTTCCTCAAATTTAAGTCCAATTTGCTGGTAAAAAGATTCTTCTTCTTGCTAAATGCAGCTTTTGCCATGGCAATCCTGGATTTAATTTCACTAGTACACCTTCCATCATCTGTTAACAAGCTACCCAAATATTTAAAACATTTCACATTCTCCAGTTGTTTTTGGTCTATCTTTATTGTGACTGGGGTTGGTTGTCTCGAAATTTTCATTACTTTTGTTTTCTCCACATTCATTTCCATGCCATAGCACCTTCCAATTTCAATTAGTCTATCAATCATGCCCTGTAGCACAGTTTCTTCCTTAGCCATTAACACAAGGTCATCTGCATATTTCACAGTTTGAATAATTTGCCCTCCTACTTTGAAGTCACCGAGCCCATCCAGAGCTTCCTTGGTAAGGCATTCGCTGTACAAGTTGAACAGAATTGGTGATAAACAGCATCCTTGTCGAACTCCTCTTCCAATCTGCACACTTCCTGTCTCCCCCCTGTCCAGTCGTACTCTAACTTTCTGATCCATGTACAATTTGCTAATCAATCTTCTTTCATGCCAATCGATACCTGTTTCTTTCAGGATCTGCATTAATTTGGTCCAGTTTACCCGGTCAAATGCCTTCTGCCAGTCTATGAAGCAAACACACAGTTCTTCATCTATCTCCAAAGTTCGTTCCGCTATAATTCTCATCATCCCAATTGCATCCCTGGTTCCTTTTCCTCTTCTAAATCCAAACTGATCTTCTCCAAGTACATCCTCTATTTTCCTTTCAATTCTTCTTTTAAGTATCTTTGCTATTATCTTTGCTGTATGTGCAATAAGACTTATTGTGCGATGGTCGCTGCATTTTGTAGCTTTTGTCTTTTTCTTTAAGGCAATCATTGTAACTTCTGTAAAGTCCTTGGGCCACTCTCCACTTTCATATATGGTGTTCATTAGTTTTGTCAGTGTTTTCAAACCACCTTCTCCCAGTAACTTGAGCACATCTCCAGGTACATCATCATCTCCTGTAGCCTTTCCCTTCCTCATTTCCTTGATAGCTTTTTCCACCTCACTTTGTAAAATATATGGTCCTTTCTCGTCTGTATCTACTTCTTCTTCCGGTTCAACTTCTAAGGTTTCTGGCCGATTAGGTCGATCATATAGTTCTGAAATATAATTTTCCCAAATTTTCAGCACTTGCCTCTGATCTACTATTCTATTCCCCTGGGAGTCTTCGATGCCAACATTTTGAATCCCATGATTCTCTTTCCATCCTAGTTCTTTTGTCTTCATGTACATCAAATCATAACGGCCTGTTCTTTGAAATTCCATAATCTCATTACATATCTTCTCAAGATATTCCTTTTTGGCCCTGTCCGTGGCTCTTTTCAATTCATTCCTCAGTCTCCTGTATTTCCTCCTGCCTTCTTCATTGTTGACATTCTTCCATTTCCTTCGCTCCTCCATTTTACTCATCATCTCCTGTGTAAGCCATGGTTTTCTTGCTATCTTCTCAACTTTACCAACCAAATCACTGATAGTATCTGACATGCATTCTTTTATATTGTTCCACTGCGCTTCAGCATTTCCGCTTTCACCTTCAATTGCACCGAGTTTCTCTTCTAGGGTCTCTTGCACGCTTTGTCTTTGAGCATATAACTTCTCCAAATCCCATCTGGGTCTGCGCTTTCGAAATCTTATAATTTTCTTCAACCTGGTTTGGAACTTGCCAACCAGTAAGTTGTGGTCAGAGTCAATATCTGCCCCAGGAAGTGTCTTCACATCCTTCACACTAGTTTGCATATATAGAACTTTATTGGCCCGTGTAATCCATATTAAAAATATTTCCATTTTTTATTTGCATATATAAACAAAAAAAACCGCTCACTTGTTCATGACCTACTGTGTCCTTTTATACAGAATTGTGTTAATGCTTGAGAGTCTTGAATCAAAACAGTGCAGTTAGCAGGTTTTGTTGGTCTGAATGCAAAACATCCATTTTTCCTGATATCAGGGCAGTGTTAGCTTTGGAATGAGTTGGTGCATACACAGGCTTTATTTTCTGCAGTGAATTGCATGCTTTGTAGACTGCATTATAAAAAGTGCAAGGGTCATAGGTAACAGATAAAATGGTGTACAATTTTTGGCAATAGAATTTGGAGTTTGTCTTAATATCTGTTCTGTCTTTTTATTGTTAAAAACAAGCAGGAGGTTGGTGTTTGAAATTTCACTGAAAGACATTTGAATCATTTGTGCAAATAACTGCTGCAGAAAATTGTTCCAGAAATATTAAAACTGAAGTACTTCTATAAATACTACTTGCTTTTAAACTTCTTGAGAATTGCCTATTAATAATTGTGCCAAAAGTAAAAAAAGAAAATTACAAGGTAGGAAGTAAGCAAATGACTGTTGGAGATGTAAACATAATTATTTACATCATGTTGGACATGACACTCATATTTTTGTTTCCGTATATAAATGTAGCTGTTGTAGAAATACTTGTTTCCTGTAAAGTGGTATACATACTTAGAAGTTTGGAAGAGTTGACATGTGTGTGAAATGAGAAAGAATGCAGGCTGAGAGACCAGTATAATCCAGTAGTGTCTCTGAATATTAAACAGTTTTCAGATTATGTAGAAATAACATGCAAATTTTGAAAGGAAGTGTTTAGTTCTTTTTTGTCAGATCCTTGAAGCTACCTCTGCACACAAATAAATAATTGTTTTAGAAGGTAATAGCATATTTTAAATGTTAAGATTTCTTCATAGTGTTGTCATTTCTCAGATGTATTTTTTTACATTAGCACACGCCAAGTTTCATTACATTCTTATTGCCATGTTATTTA